GGGCTGCCTGCCTTGATCCTGGGAGCTCCGTCCTCTGGGGCGCTGCGGGGACTTCCCACACACTGGGGCGGTCCCCCGAAACCGGACCCCAGAGGATGGGGCTCGAGACCTCGGAGCCGACGCGAGCTCGGAATGGCAGGTTCTCAGCCCCCGTTCTCCAGCAGGATCGCCCCACTCCTGCAAATTCTGTTTCCATAGAAATAGGGCCTGGCACCCGTTTTGATTTTTCTAACTTTTAAATCAATTTTGTGAACATGACTTAGACCCAGTGAAATGCACTCATTTTAAGGGCACTTGCTCAATGGAATTTGACAGATGTACAGCCGCGTGTAAGCACCACCACGCTCGAGTTGCAGCCCGTTGCCGTCACCCGGAAAGTTCCCTGGTGTCCCTTGTGCAGTCAGTTTCCCTGAATCCCGCCTCGGGCGACCACCGATCTGCTTTCTGTCGCGAAAGAGGAGTTTTGCCTCTTCTCAGACGTTATGTAAGTGGACTCGTTACCGTGTGTGTTTGCTTTTGCCGTTCTGTGTTTTTTGTCTGGCTTCTTTCTCTCCGTGTTTGCGGTTTCTCTGCATCCTGACATGTCTCACCTTCCTTTCTATTGTGGAATAGTGTCTCACTGTGTGGCCAGGCCACTGTCTGTGCATCGAGCTGCCAGTTGGTTGCGGTGAACAAAGCCGCATGGAACATTCCTGAACTGATGTCTGTCTGTAGGGGCACGTGTTCCGTTTCTCATGGGTGAATACCTAGGAGTGGAATCGTTGGATGATAGGTAGGAACACGGAGGGTGTGATTTTATAAAGCTCCGTGAGAGGGAGAATAAGGGTATATATTTGCTTCTGCGTAGATTCTGAAAAGGGAGACAAGAAAGGAATCCATGTGGCCGTCACCTGGGGTGTTAGGGTGAGGGAAGGACTGGGCAGATGGGAAACAGAAATGGAAATGAGATTCTTCACTGTAAGTCTTTTTATATTTTTAAAGTTTTAAGCCAGGCAACTGTATTACCCTATTCAAGACTTTTTT